AAGAAGATCAGATTCCAAACGCGTGTTAAATTTGAGGAGAAGTACGTATATACATATAATTTCCATCTAACATTATATCTTGTCACTGGTTATTGTATTCGAAGATTGTACAATGAATAAGCAATTTTTCTTTATAAAAAAAAAAAATAAAACACAAATTTTATTCCTTTCAGTTCAGCAATTTAATAGTTTTTCATCATCAGAGTTCTGAAGATCATCCAAGTTACATGAGAATGTTTCTGGTATAACAGAACCGATTGAAATCTTTAGATCTTCTACAATTGCTGTGCATTAACATCACTTATAATGCACCAAACATTTTTATTTCTCTATCTTCTTCTTCAAGTAACTCTTTTTAGTTAAGGCAAAAGCAATAATGCAAAAAATAATACAAATTCAAATGAAAGTTAACAACAAGCAAGCATACTAAGAAACATAAAGCAGATTTTTAGACACTAGAAGTTAGTATCGGGCTTGCCTGTACCATGGAACGAAGATCAATGGAATAGCAATACCTGACGCCTAAACCGTGTCGTGCAGAGCAAGTCTGAAGATGTCATGCTGCACGTAAAAGCTCACGCCAATTGGCTTCAGGACAAATGTCTGGATGTATGCATGGGGCTGATCCTCATCAGTCTGCCCAATCATCAACAATCTGACTCAATTTTCTTATTTCATCTTCTTCACGTAGGTATATAGAGAGATTGTTGCTGAACATTAGTCATAGCTCAATCTCTATCTTCATATGGCAGCACAAAAAATGTAAGGCAGTACAGTACACGCGTGTGTAGCATGTCCAGCCAATAAAATACAATATATGGGCAAATAGAGAATGTAAATGTATTGAACTTTAAAAGAAAAAGAAAGAAAGTAGCAGTTCGATCAAATATCTTTCATTGTTTGAAAAATGTACTGTATTGTTACATTAAGTAGAATATACTAGGAATTACTTGATTTAAATTACTGAACTAATTGGAATAAAAGCTCTGCACATTACTTTTTCATTTAATCTTGTTGTATACATAAGTACAACAACTATATTTATTTTTATATAAGAAGTCCTATCCCCTGTATTTATATCACATTCGTAACATTAATATAATAAGATATTTTTCTTACCTGCAACCTTCCTAATACATTAATGAGTACGCCACCATCAAACATTGGTTGTGAATCAATCGCAGTGATTATCCGATTTATTTTTTGAAATGTTAAACTCTAAAAATCAAAATTTAGTATTAAATATAATGCATATGTCGGAGATGGATTTCTGATACATCATTTATAAACAATCACTTCATTCACACAGAATGTTAAAAGTAAAAATGTGATGTATACAATGTTAAGCTGCAATTGAGATGCAAACCATTTTTTATGTGAAATACTTACAGTTAATTTTTCCATGATTTTCATAGCACCCTGTATTTGCAAACCCTCAAATGTCATGAATGACTCGGTCTGCAAAAGTAATAACGCATAAATGAACAGAAGAAAAGGTATCGCGTTAAACAAATGTAATTGCAGGCGATCTGGACTTACATTGTACATATTCATTAAATTTTGTCTTTGAGCAGGGTCGTCAAACATCGCATAATACTGTTGTACGAAACCCTTCCCGATAACTTCATATTGGGGGTTTAATGCCATTACGCTAACTTATCGTATTCACAATCACTAATGGATATCAACAATATCAGTCTTTTCAATTGATTCGGTCGCTCGGTAAATCGTATATTTAAAAAAATCCTACGATACGAGTAAAATAATGCCTATTAACATCCCTCGTGCGCTCGTGCGAAGGCGAAGTTACAAGCAAGCAGGAAGCTACTTATGCCGACCAATCATTTCGATGTATCGAGAAATTTATCGGGAGATTATTCTCGAACTCTCGAAAGGTTTGGATATTTTGGCAACGATAGTATTCGTTTTTGTGCAAACAATATTGCATATGATCCGTGGTTCAAGGATAAGAAATATACAAAGGCTAATTGTGCCTTTAAAAAATATGCGATTTACATTACAGATGAAATGACTGTACAATGCGTTACGCACGGCGTACAACAGAAGGGAGTATCGAATCGACTCAAAACGAATATTCCTCTGTCAACGAGCAATTTTATTAAACGTCATTCAAACCGTAATTCCGGATTGGTTTATCACGATCGTCGGATGGTAACCGGATGTCTAGTGTGATGACATCTACAGTTCGGATTTTGAAAAGCGAACAGACGATTGAAAGTTGGGTTAACTTCCTTTTTTCCGGTGTGAAAAGCCGTGAGGTGTGTGTCCTTTGTCAATGTCCAAATTAATCCAAAAACATCGAAAAATACTAAAATAATTTGTTTATACATATATCATTGTTTCGAATTGTGCCTTTTCCAATACTTTCGGAGTAGCAATTATTTTTCGAATTTACTAGTTTAATGATAGATCTTAAAGTATGTTATAAACATCCCAGTTTTGTTTATGTCAAGCTGTACCTAAAGTTAAAGAAATCAATTCAAAGTTATGCGCTTTGAGAAATGTTAATTTTGTCTATTCTTAATTCTGATGATAATTGTCTTCTACTGAGAGTGTGCAATGTTAAGTACTGTGTTTACAACTGCCAAATCAAATCGTGTATTAAAAAAGCAATCACGTTACAAAAGAAGAGTCATTATTAACTTGAAATAAATTATTATGAACAATTTTCATAACAGAATCATTGTTCTTGTACTGTCCATTCTTAGAATTACATTAATTATCTTTTATTTCTAGCACAAATCTTCAAGATGGTGAAGATTATGAAACAAGGGAAAGTCGTATTGGTCCTCAGCGGCCGATACGCTGGCAGAAAAGCTATTGTCATGCGTAATTATGACGATGGTACTACCGAAAAACAATACGGTCATGCAATGGTTGCAGGCATTGATAGATATCCACGTAAAGTACACAAAAGGATGGGCAAAGCGAAGATTCATAAACGTTCGAAGATCAAGCCGTTTGTGAAAGTAAGCATTGCCAATATACCTTTTTGTTAATCTTCAAATGACATGTAACAAGCATCAAAATTTTTTATGACATTTACTTACATCTCGTTGCAGATATTAAATTATAACCATTTGATGCCCACGAGATACACAGTAGATCTGCCCTGGGATAAAGTAACGCCTAAGGATCTTAAGGATGCAATGAAACGCAAGAAGATCAGATTCCAAACGCGTGTTAAATTTGAGGAGAAGTACGTATATACATATAATTTCCATCTAACATTATATCTTGTCACTGGTTATTGTATTCGAAGATTGTACAATGAATAAGCAATTAATGAGCTCTTGTTTATTATTTTCAGGTACAAATCTGGTAAAAACAAATGGTTCTTCCAAAAATTACGATTCTAATTAAATTTAAATAAACAAACCTACATTCATTAAAGTGTAATATTTCTCCTTTCATTTTCCTGATCCAGAATGATTATTTATTTTTATATAT